GAGGAGGAGGAGGAGGAGGAGGAGGAGGAGGAGGAGGGAGGAGGAGATCGAAGTGGGACTCGAGCACGGCGGGCGACAGGGTGCCCGCCCCCCGGCCGAGGCGCGGACGGCCCAGGAGGAGCTGCTGCGGCAGAGGAGCCGCCCCGCCCAGCGCCCCCCCTTTCGGGGAGCGCCCCCGCGAGCCCCCGTGGGCGGGCAGGGCTCCGAGCTCCAGCGTTCGAGTGGCCATACGTACCGCTGCCCATGCCTCCACCCTTCCCTGGTTTTTCTGCTTTTTTTGGCCTCCTGGGCGGCCGGCCCTCGTCGCCACCGCTGGATTCACATCGAAATCCTGGTCAGAACGCGCCCCGGGAGAGGTCTGGGGAGTAGCGGTATGGGTACCTTTTGGTCTCCCCAGTGTTCGTCTTTCTCGGCCTTCTTCTAGGCCCTCGTCGCCACCGCTGGATTCGCCTCGGAGTTCTGGTCAGGACGCACCCCAGTAGAGGTCCTGGGGAACAGCGGTATCGGCGCCTTTTGGTTTCCCCACTCGAACAGTCGGGCTGCCCCCTCCGACGAGGCCCTGCCAGTCAACACGGACTCGCATTTTTCGTCGGGCCAGGCGCAGCTGCGCTCCCCCCAACCCCCTCGTCCTCCTCCCTCCGAGCAGGATCGATGATCTACTGGACGTGTGTTGGCCCCGTGTGTGCCAACTCATTCCAGCTCCACCGACAGCACGCAGACCTGTGTCGGCCCTCGTCACGTTGCCTGCGTCGCACCGAAGGTCTTCGGTTGACAAGCATGCGTTGGTCGGACGGGGTTCGGACGAGGACAAATCCGTTCCAGAGCGTTCCAGAACGCTCTCAGAGAGTTCCGAAACGCTCTCAGAAGGCCGCGGCGCCCAAGACATCTTCCAGAGCCGCCGGATCTCAGAGACTCTTGACGTACGTTAGCCCGATGTTACCCTCGTCCTGGCTTCGCTTTAGTTGGCGCTAGCACACCTTCTGGGGATCATCGGGGGGAGTGCTCGGGTTGGGGGACGGGGTCGTCGGGTCCCGCGTCTGGGGGTCGAGCCCGCTCTCGTCGGGCGCACTCTTCGGTGAGGCTCCTGGGCGGCAGTGGGCATGTCGGTGGCTGGGCAACGGAGGGCGCGCGCCTTTCTCGTGCGGCGTCCTTATGATACAGTCGGACCGAGGTATCAGATCGAGGTCGGTTCGGGGAGGGTGCCCTAATGTTTTTCGTGCTTGTTGGATGTTCTTGTGCACCCTAGGTAGGGTACCCTTGGATGTTGTGTGCGTTTTGGCCAGCGGAGGGTCTCGTGTTCTTGAGGGATGTTCTTCTTTCTTAGTGCCGACTGTTTGGTACGAATGGACGTATCAATCTCAGACATCTGCACTCCCTGGTGTTGTAACGCCCTCATCTCTCCGCGTCTGCATCCAACGGCCGTGTCAGATTGCCTCCGTGGCCTCGACGGCTTGGTGTGGTCGGCTGGTAAGAGCCACAGTCAAGAAGTCGCTGACACAAAGCAGGCGATCTTTTTCAGAGTCGGAGCAGCCAGCTAGCCACATGGGTGTAGCAAGCGGACGAACGAGGCTCGACGATACCAGTGCGAGACTGACTAATTGTTGACGATTCGCGTATCTCCACCAGCCCATTCAGAAACGGTGCCCAGACAGAAGACAGCCCTTGATCGAAAGTTCGCGAGCAGATCGAGCATGCCCTCTCTTCGAGCCCTCCTGGGGCCCCCTTAGGGACTATGTTTTGGAGTCTTGGAATTCTCCTCGGGAGTCTCTCTACTCCCCATCTCCTCCTCCTCTGGCACCTCCCCGTATTCTTCATCTTCCTCCTCCCTTCTCGTCCTGTTCTCCCCTCCTGCTCAGTCACTTCCTACGCCCTCCTCCTACATACCAGGGCAGGAGTGTCCGCGACCGAGCTTCGAGATTTGCTTGCGATGATCTAACGTGCCAACCACATGCTCGCGGTTCCAGACGAATCGGTAACCTTGGAGGATCAGGTGGAGGAGGATGAAGCAGGTTAGGCTGCTTACGGCCTGCATTAGGATGAAGACGATGACGAGTTTGTTGGAATGGGGATGGGGCACGGGAAGGGGGGAAATAATGAGGTAGATGTCGAGAATCGGCTAAGCGGAGCATGTGATTTCGCTGAGCATTGCGATGAGGACGCGTTCGCGCACATTGTGTGTTTCTTTTGAAGTTGTGGGCAGGACAGACGCGCTCGTGGCGAAGATGGAGAAGGAGGAGATGGAGCTCATCCAGCGGTTGCAGAACACTCAGACAATCCAGCGGAACGCTTACGAGGATACTTGCACATTCGTCCATTCCCCCGCTCCGCTTCCATGCCGGTCTGTCATTTGCCCAGCCAAGATTTGTATGACACATTCCACCCAGGTGTAGATCTCGAATGAATTCACGGCGACGTTCTACGACTCCTTCCGCCTCCACTCTCCTCCCTCGTCCGGACTTCCACACTGATGGACGGGGTAAACGGCGGCGGTAAGGTGTCTCATTTGATGCATTGTGCTGCTGCGTGCATAGAAATATATAGCACTTGGCGGTAGCTGCCACTGCCTTTCATGCGTACTTGGGCCGCTGGAGTTGGCGCTTGGCTCCAACCCACGTCCAAAACAAAAAGTCCTCCCTATTCCTCCTCCCTCTTCGGATGCAACTCCTGGGAGGTCAAATCCTGACCTCACCCTGGCCGAGGTCTGGCCCGATCCGGCTTAATCCCGCTCAATCTGGCTTAATACCGCTGAGTCCGGCTCTTTCCCGCTGCACCCGCGGCCCAATCTGGCGCAGCAGCCCCCCGCTTGGGCTCCGTCTTCCTCCATCCTTCCGGCGAAGACTTTTCCAGCAGCTGCCTCTTTGGAGAGCCCCCTGCTGCGCCCGAAGCCGCCAGCTGCCGCACGAGGCGCCCGCGAGGCGCCCGGGGGGCGCCCAGCGGCAGGGAGCACCCGACCGCTCCAGCTGGCGCGCGAGGCGACCACGAGCCGCCCACGGGCGCCCCCTGGGCGAACACCGGGCGCGGCAGCCGATGACGATGACGACGACGACGACGATGACGACGACAATGACGATGACGACGACGATGAGGATGACGACGACGATGACGATGACGACGACGACGATGACGACGACGACGACGATGGCGCGGCAGACGATGTCTTGCAGGGTTGAGCAGGGCTCCCTCAGCAGAGATCAAAGCTTAAGCCGAATGCCCTCCTCGCTGCCCTCGAGAACAAAACAGCGAGCAAATGCAAGGTTGAGCAAGACTCCCTCAGGAGCCGCGACCAAATGTTATTATGCCGAATCTCTCATCGCTGCCCTCGAGAACAAATCAACGAACAAATGCAAGAGCAACTGGGAGGAGGAGGGAGGAGCAGGGAGGAGGGGGGAGGAGGAGGGAGGAGAAGGAGGAGGAGGAGGAGGAGGAGGAGGAGAAGGAGGAGGCGGAGGAGGAGGAGGAGGGAGGAGGAGAGGACGGAGGAGGAAGGGAGAAGGAGGAGGAGGAGGGGGAGGAGGAGGAGGAGGAGGAGCAGCTGCAGTTTATGCCGACTGCCTCCGCCTTCTGTGGCGCGCGGGCAGGGCGGCACCGGCCCCGGCGCGCTGCCAGGGCGGCCTGCCGCGCTGCGCGCCCCGAGCGGGGTTGCGGCGTTCGGGGGGGCCTCCTCCAGCGCCCCCGTCCTCCTCCTCCTCCTCCGTGCCTCACTACCCTCCATCTCCTCCCCTCCCTACGTCCCTCCTATCCTTCCTCTTCCTTGTCCCCTCCCCCCTCTTCCTGCCTACCCCCTCAATCGCCTCATCCTCCTCCCCTCCTCCTACCTCCTCACCTCCTCCTCCTCCTCATCCTCCTCCTCACCCTCCTCCTCCTCCTCCTCCTCCTCCGCCTCCTCCTCCTCCTCCTCCCCTTTCCTCCTCGCTCGCATGCTCAGGCTGTAGAACGTCGAGACGTGCAGCCACCTTCCTCTCCTCCTCCTCCTCCTCATCCTTCCTCCTCCTCCTCCTCCTCCTCCCCTCGTCCTCCTCCTCCTCTCCTCTTCCGCCTCCTCGGCCCTTCCTCCTCCTCTCCTCGCTTTTTCACTTCGCCCTCCTCCCTCCCTCCTCCTCCTCTCCTCCTGCCTCCTCTCCTCATCCTCCCTAATCCTTCCTCCTTCCTCCTCCTCCTCCTCCTCGATCTCCTTCTCCTCCTCGTTCGCCTCCTCCTTCTTCTCCTCTCTTTCTCCTCCCTTTAGGAGGCCTAGACTCTCGGACAGGCGCCCCATCCTGCTCGTTTCGAGCCCCCTCCCGTGAGTGGCCGCAGCGCGAGGGGAGAGCTCGTCACGGCGGGCGAGCCTCAACGCAGTTGTTTCTGTTATGTAAACTGTTTTTTCCATCGTTTCTTCTTCTTCCTCTCCCCACATCCTGAGTTGGGTCTTGTTTTCTCTGGACACCCCGCGTAGGAATGGGAGCAGGAACCACCCACATCATCATCAGCATCACCATCATCAGCATCATCATCATCATCATCATCATCAGCATCATCATCATCACCATCAGCATCAATCACCATCATCAACATAATCATCAGCATCATCATCAAGATGACCATCATCAGCGGCAGCACCATCATCATCACCATCAGCATCACCATCATGATCAGCATCATCATCAGCATCAGCATCACGATGATCATCAGCAGCATCATCATCACCATCATTAGCATCGTCTTCAACATCACCATCATCATCATCATCACCATCACCATCACCATCATCACCATCACCACCACCATCATAATCATGACCCCCTCTCTTCGTCACACACACACACTCAGACACTCACACATTCACACTCATCATCATCATTCGCATCTTCATCATCACTCAGTCCCTCACTGCCTCACTCACTCACCCACTCTTCAACATCAACATCATCATCGACATCACTCCTACACTCATTCACACATACACGCAAACATACACACACACACACTCACATAGTCACGCACTCATGCATTCATCTCGAGGAAGTCTAAGGTGGGAGCCTCGTCTGTGAGTGAATCGTGAGGAAGTCTCAGGCGGCCCCCTCCCCATATGGGACCCGTACTTCATGTTGGTAACTGGATCGAGTCATCCAAATCCTCTAGCTGTCGTCACTGTTTGGGCCCCTCACGCTTGAGTTTTGAAGAAGCCTCAGGCGAGAGCCTCGTCTGTGACTGGATTCTGAGGAAGTCTCAGGCGGGGGCCCTCTCCCTATGGAACCTGCATTTCATGTTGGTAATCGGAGCGGGTCATCCAAATCCTGTAACTGTCGTCGTTGTTGGGCGCTTCGCGCTTAAATGTTGAAGAAGCCTCAGACGGGAGCCTCGTCTGTGAGTGAAATGCGATGAAGTCTTAGGCGTGGGCCCCTTCCTATGGGGCTCGCATTTCATGTTGGTAATCGGAACGGGTCACCCAAATCCTGTAACTGTCGTCACTGTTGGGCCCTTAGCGCTTACATTTTGAAGACTCAGGCGGGAGCCTCGTTTGTGAGTGAAGTGCCATGAAGTCTCTGGCGGGAGCTCTCTCCCTATGGAACCCGCATTTCATGTTGGTAATCGGAGCGGGTCATCCAAATCCTGTAACCGTCGCGATCTAGCTGTCGGCGAACGCGCGCGCCGAGACGGCGCCGGCGCCGAGGAAAATCGACTTGCTTGCCCCGACCATGGGGAAGGCGAGGTGCACATGGAGAAGAGGCAGGAGGATAAGGAGGGGGTAAAGGTAGGGGGGTCGGTGATGAGGAAGAAGCGGAAAAGGAGGAGGAGGAGGGGAACAAAAAGAATATGATTATGCATAGAAGTAGGAAAAGGAGGAGAGGCCAGAGCAGAGGGCGAAATGAAGGTGTCCGCCTGGGCGAGAAGAACGGGGCTAAGGGCAAGTGGAACATATTGGGTCCTACCGTCGGAGTGTATAGTTATATAAAACACTAGTAGCATTTATTGTTGACGCAAATCAATGCATGCATTGTAGTGGCCTCCGGCCAGTGCCGCCGATCCGGGGCGCTCTGGTTCCGCGTCGAAGCGGACGACGACGACGAAGATGACGCTCCCCCTTTTCTTCCTCGTTTCTTTTCTCCTTCTTTTTCCCTTTTCGGAAGCATACTGGATGCTTCTGGGGGCTTTTTTGGGGCCCCACGGGCTCATGGGGACCGTCAAACATTGATCCGGGGATGAAAACCTGCACCAGGATGGACCTGGGTGGGGTCCGCGGACCAATTTGAGTGGGTGCGGAGGAGGAGGTGGAGGAGGAGGAGGAGGAGGAGGAGGAGGAGAAAAAGGAGGAGGATCAGGAGGATGAGGGGGATAAGGAGCAGGAGGAGGCGGAGGAGGAGGAGGAGGAGGAGGAGGAGGAGAAGGCGAAGGAGGAGGAGAAGGAGGAGGAGGAGGAGCAGGAGGAGGAAGTGGAGGAGGAGGAGGAGGAGGAGGAGGAGGGAGGAGGAGGAGGAGGAAGTGGAGGAAAATGGTATGTGACACTTCTGTGCCGCAAAATCAAGATAATGCCAGCATGAAAAAGAGTAGGAGGAGCTTGACGAGGACGAGGAGGAGGAGGAGGAGGAGGAGGAGGAGGAGCGACGCACCTCGCCCGAAGGCCCTCGTTGCGGTGCTCCATCAGAGACGGCGTGTGACCAACTCTGGAAGTGCTCGTGCAATGATGGTACCTTTGGCGCCCACCCCGAGTTGATCGCTCAGGCGACAGTAGGATTGGAGGAGTTTCCGCGTTTTGTGTTAAGAGGTCTCCCACCGCTGAAGTGGACGGTCGACCGATCTTCCGTTGAAGCTGTAAGGTATCGCGTCCAATGCCCCAGAATTGTGCGGCCCCAGCTCCAATGCTGCCAGGATGGCGGAAGCGAAGCTGCGAAGCAAAAGGCTGGCGTGTAAGGTTAAGGATGCCATAGCGGCGTCGGCCCCAGCGGTGTCTCAGACTCTAATGCCAGTCGAGCCTCACTCGACTCCGCGCTGATTTGAGAATGCAAGAACGGCTTGCCTCCCCGTGCCCCAGAGTTCCCAGTAGCTTCAACCCCTCGCGTATGCTGGCCTTCTGCATGGGGGAGTGATTCACTGGTGCCAGGACTGCGGGGCCACGCGCAGGCGGGGGGCCTTGCCGGGCTGGGCAGAACGTTTGTCGCCCAGGCAGAGTAGGCCCCTGTGGCAAGAGGGTACTTGAGGCCCCTGCAAATGGGGCACTTTCATCTGGTTTCGAGGCCTGGCCCGAGCCAGGCGTCGAGGTTTTGGTTTCGGCGTGCCCGTTTGATGGATTCCTCGCTGGAGCTCTGGACGTGGACGAGGAGGAGGATAATGATGAGGAGGAGGAGGAACATGACGTTTGAGCAGGAGTACTTAGAAGAGGATGGTCAGTACGTGGGAAAAGGAGTAGGACAATGAGGATGATGCTGAGGAAATGCTTATGATGAAGACGGCGACGAAGACGAAGATGATAAATGATGAGATGGAAGAGGAGGAGGAGGAGGAGGAGGAAGAGGAGGAGGAGGAGTCTCATGTCGTGGAGGAGGAGGGGTAGGAGGAGGAGGAGGAGGAGGAGGATGAAGGGTCCGTCGACGGACATGGATGCCCCCCCCCCCAGTCCCAGAAAGGAGCTCGAGATGGCGCTGGGCCAGAACAGCCAACAGATCTCCACGAACTCTCGCTCGGGTGGCTGCCGCCAGGGTGGGTCGACGTCGTCCTCATTTTCTTCGTGGTGGTGGTGGCCGTCGTCGGTGGAGGACCAGATTAAGCCCACGATATGTCAGCGCTGCGGCAATGCACCCTCCCGTCCCAAGTTCCATCCTTATAAGTCCATACAAGCTTCCTTTTTGCCAACCCTCCTTTGTTGGGTTCTCGTTTCGAATCGAGTAGAGTTGACCCCACCTCTCCTCTCCTCCGCCTTCCCTCCTCCTCCTCCTCCTCCTCCTCCTCCTCCTCCTCCTCCTCCTCCTCCTCCTCCTCCACCCTCCTCCTGCCTCCTCCTGCGCTGCTCCCTGGGTTGCTGCGAACTGTGGAATTGTCGCCACTTTCGTGGGCTCCTGGGAGGCACGGCGGAGTCGGGGAGTAAACGGACCCATTTGAGATCTCGCAGCTCCCTGGGGGAGCTGCGAATTGCTCAATTGTCGCCTCTTTCGTGGGCTTCTGGGAGGCACGGCGGAGCAGGTGAGTAAACGGATCCAGCCGAGACATCGCAGCTCCCTGGGGGGGCTGCGAACTGCGCAGCGGTCACCACTTGCGTGGGCTCCTGGGAGGCACGTCGGAGTGGGGGAGTACGCGGACTCAGCCGAGACCTCGCAGCTCCTTGGGGGGGCTGCGAACTGCGCAGCGGTTGCCAGTGTCGTGGGCTCCTGGGAGGCACGGCGGAGTGGGGGAAACGGATCCAGCCGAGACCTCGCAGCTCCCTGGGAGGTTGCGAACTGCGCAGCGGTCGCCACTTTCGTGGGCTCCTGGGTGGCACGGCGGAACAGCAGAGTCAACGGATCCAGCCGAGACCTCGCATTTCCCTGGGGGGCTGCGAATTGCGAAACTGCAGTCACCATTTTCGTGGGCTCCTGGGAGGCACGGCGGAGCAGCAGAGTAAACGGATCCAGCCGAGACCTCGCATTTCCCTGGGGGGCTGCGAATTGCGAACCTGCTGTCACTATTTTCGTTGGCTCCTGGGAGGCACGTCGGAGTCGGGGAGTAAACGGACCCATTCGAGATCTCGCAGCTCCCTGGGGGAGCTGCTAGCTGCTCCACGGAGGTCCAGCGGAGTCGCGGGCCACGCGCACCCAGACGAGGCCTTCGTGGGCTCCCGGGAGGTCCGGCGGAGTCGGTGGCCACGCGCACCCAGACGAGACCTTGCTGCTCCCTGGGCGGCTGCGAACCGCGCAAGCATGGCCACCTTCGCGGGCTCCTGGGAGGTCCAGCGGAGTCGGGGGCTGTGCGGATCCATTGAGCAAATCGCTGCCCCCTGGGAGGCTGCGAACTGCGAACCTGCCACCACTTTCGTGGGCTCCTGGGAGGTCTAGCAGGGCCGTGGGCCACGCGCACCCTTTTGGGACCTCGCTGTTCCCTAGGCCCTGGGATGCTGCGAACTGCCAAGTTGTCGCCACCTTCGTGGGCCCCTGGGAGGTCCAGCGTAGTCGGGGGTTACGCCACAGGGCTCGGCAGCGGGCAGGGTGCATCAGCCACCATAGAGCGATGCCACTTGATCACGCCGGAGGCCACCATAGGGCTTCCAACGGCGACCAGGTGTGGGTGCGGCGGACGGGCGAGAGGGACTTCATGGAACTCATCGCCTTCAGTGGAAATCCCCACCACCCCTGGCGCAGCGCGTGCGACGCCAGGGGGGGCGGCCAGTCCACCCACCTCACAACCATAGGGGGGGGCGAAGTCTCTGTGGACGGGACGGGGTGGGCACCGAGGGGCACCAAAGGTGGGCACATACGCCCGCCACCACCAACGGAGATACACCATATGTCCTCCACAATTCTATTCGACATGAACCTTTCCATTTGATACTTCAACCTCTCGCCAGTCTGGGCCCGTGATCGGGACTTGTATCCCCTGCCGGCCTTCCAGTGCCCTTACATGGACTTCGCAGAGTTCGTGGAACTTGGGAGGGGGAGGGTGGGAGGTTTCTGTTCCTCCTCGGGGAAGTAGGAGCGAGGTGTTCGACGGGGGCGTGGCGCCGCGAGGTGGCGGCGGCTGCGGCGTGACTCCCCGCCCGTGGACTGCCTCGCTCCTTTTGCGCCGCCCCCCTGGCCAGAGCCACCATGAGGCTCGGCAGCGGGCTGGGTGCATGAGCCCCCATAGAGCGATGCCATCCGACCGCGGCGGAGGCCACCATAGGGCTTCCAACGGCGACAAGGTGTGGGTGGGGGGGACGGGCGAGAGGGACTTCATGGAACTCATCGCCTTCAATGGCAATCCCCGCCACCCCTGGCGCAGCGCGTGCGGCGCCAGGGAGGGGGCGGCCCGTCCACCCACCTCCACACCGTGGGGGGGGGGGCGAAGTCCCTGTTGACGGGGCGGGGTGGGCACTGAGGGGCACCATAGGCCCTTCTAGAACCAAAGTTGGGCACATACGCCCGCCACCAACGGAGGTACACCATATGTCTTTCACCCTTCATTCCATTCGACATTCAGTGAACCTTTCAATTTGATACTTCAACCTCTCTCCAGCCGAGACCTCGCGGCTCCATGGGAGGCTACGAGCTGCGCAAGTGTCGCCACTTTCATGGACGCCTGGGAGGTGCGGAAGGAGCGTTCATGCAAGTATTTGCCTCGCGGGGAAACGGGGCCGGGTACGCCTCGGGTGTTTAGTCACAAGATGTACCTCCTTGATTGATGAGCGCGCATTGTGCCTGCGATTCATGTGAAAGCTCAGTTTTTCACAAGTAACTGCCTGCATCGTTCAAGCGAGTAATTATAAGGTATGCGACAAAGCAGGACCATGAAGTTAAAGAAAGTGTCCAGTGGGAACCTTGTTTGCAAAAGGAATGTCCCCCCCCCCATCCGCATACCTGCAGCACACAGGTGCACTTCTGGTCGTTCAGTTGGAGGATTGCTCACGCGAGAGCCTCGTGTTTGCAAAGGAGCCGCCCTCCATCCGTGCAGCTGTTGCATCTGTTCAGGCGTCTGGTCGTTCACTTGGAGGAAGGTTGAGGCGAGAAACCCATCTTGGAAAAGGAGCCGCACTGCGTCTGTGTAGCTCTTGCACAGGTCTACTACAGTTTTGGTGATTCGTTTGGGGAGGTCCCAGGCGGGAGCCACATTCTGAAAGCGAGGCGGCCTCCATCCGCGTAACCGTTGCAAGCTTCCAAGATGTGCGGGGTGCGAAAACGAGAGCCCTATTTTCAAAAGGACCCGCTTTCCATCCGCGCAGCTGCTGGCAATTCTCACCTCCAGGAGCATAGTCGCAAGGAGGTCTGAAGCGAATCTCCCGGTCCGGTCCGCGGATGTGTCCTGTGGTACGACCAGGAGGTGTTATCGGACGTGGCTAGGACGAGGGAGGATACATCCGTTCCAGAGCGTTCCGCGACGCTGTGAGAAGGCCGCGGCGCTCGAGACATTCTCCAGAGCCGCCAGATGTCAGATATTCTAGATGCTCCGTGTATCCCCACCAGCCCATCCAGAAACGATGTCCAGGCGAATTGAGGTGATCAGGGAAGGGCGGGAGCAAAGAGGTGGACGGCCGAATCGTGCGAAGGAGGGAGGAGGAGAAGGAGGAGGCTGGATTGATGGATGAGAGAGTGGGGAGAAGGAAGATGAATCGGATGTTGATGTAGTAGTAGTAGTAGTAGTAGTAGTCGTAGTCGTAGTCGTAGTCGTAGTCGTAGTCGTAGTCGTAGTCGTAGTCGTAGTCGTAGTCGTAGTAGTAGTAGTAGTAGTAGTAGTAGTAGTAGTAGACAGTAGCAGTAGTAGTAGTAGTAGTAGTAGTAGTAGTAGTAGTAGTAGTAGTAGTAGTAGTAGTAGTAGTAGTAGTCGTAGTCATAGTGTTTTTCATGTTGTTGTTGTTCTTGTTGTTGACATTGTTGTTGTTGTGATTGTTCTTGTTGTTGTTGCTGTTGTTGTTGATGCTGATGATGCTGCTAATGATGATGATGATGGTGATGCTGCTGCTGATGATGATGATGATGCTGATGATGTTGCTGATGATGATGCTGATGATGCTGATGTTGATGGTGATGTTATTGATGATGATGGTGGTGGTGGTGGTGATGCTGGTGGTGGTGGTGGTGGTGATGATGATGATGAGGAGGAGGAGGAGGAGGAGGAGGAAGGGGCAGCAGGATGAGGAGGGCAAGCAAAAGGGCCAGAGGTCTCTTGGATGCCTTTCGGAGCCTCCTGGGATATCCCTTGGGCGCTTCTTGGAGGCTTCTTGGGACGTCTTGGGGGTCTCTCGGCGGTCCTGGGGGGCTCGTGGGCGTCTTGGGTGCCTCGGGGGCGCCTCTTGGGGCCGCTTTGGGTCCTCTTGGGAGCCTCTTGGGGCCTCCTTGGCGCCTCTTGGGGCCATCTAGGAGGAGATCGATCAAAGAAGGGGGAGCTTCAATTAGTAGCTCCCCTGGGGAGCCCCCAAGATCACCTCCTGGGTACTCTTGGAGCGCTCTTGAGCGCTCTTGGAGCCGTCTTGGGGCTTTCTGGGGCCTCTGTTGGGGCCCTCATGGGCCCTTTTGGAGCTGCCTGGAGGCCTCGGAAGGTCATGGGAAGCGAAAAGGCGAGAAGGTACAATTCATTGATTTTACATCTGTTTTGTACTACGATTTTGGCTTCTTGGCGGCCTCCTGGGGAGGCTCCGTGGCCGCTCGGAGCCGCCTTGAAGCGGTCGTGGGGCCTCTTGGAGCATGTTGGGAGCCATCTTGGCTCATCTAGGGATATCTTGGGCAATCTAAGAAGTCATCTTGGGCTCTCTGATGCCCTCTTGGAGCCATCTTGGGCCCTCTTGGACGCTCCAACGACCCGCGACCCCGCCCCCCAGGTCCAGAGGAGGGGGTAAAGGGGGAGGGGTAAACCCTTCCCCGAATGGGAAGATGGAGGGGTAAACCACCTACGCCCAGAGGGCTGGTGGGATTCTCGACGTACCCTCGCCCGATTTTGTCCTCGGCCTGGCTTCGTCCTACGTTATAATGAAGGGGAAGAGGATGGGGAGTGAGGCTCGGAGGGCACGAGAGAGGAGAGACGGCGGGAGCTGGGAGGGTGGCGTGGCTCCTCCGCTTCGCCTCCTCCCTCCTGCTGCTCCTCCCCCTCGCAATCCCCCTGCACTTCCTCTTCCCCCGTCCCCCTTCCTCCCTCTTCCCCCTCCTTCGTCCCCTGCATGCTTCTCCTGCAGCTCTTCCTCCTCCTCGTCCCCTTCCCCTTCGTCGCCCTCCGCTTCCTCCTCCCTCTTCTTCTTCGGCTGCAAACTGGTCTCGGGCGATGGGTGGCCGCCTCAAGCCGAGCTCGTGACTAGTCCTCACGATGGCCGTTCGCCCTTGGTTCCCCTGAAGGGTGTGGCTGTTGGCTCGTCCACCCTCCAGTAGGAAGAGATCGACTTAACTACGACGTTTCTCTTCTCAGCAGGTTTTCTTTTTCTCGGGACTGGCGACGACGACAACGACGACGACGACGACGACAGCGTCCCACACACGCCGAAGGGCCGGCGGATTCGGTCGGCAGGATTTTACGCAGTGCCGCCTTGCAGTCCTCCAGGGGGGGTGCCCCGAGCTCCCAGCAGCTGTTGTATTGAAGTTGGAGGAGCGAGACCGCGACCGTAAGCGGTGTGCCAGGCAACAGGGATCGACACATATCCTCGCGGCCGGCCCCGCTTACAGCACAGGCCAAGCGGGTGGGCCACGTCTGAAGGGTCGGCGGAACTGGTCGGCAGGATCTTCGCTCCTCCTCCTCTGCTCTTGCTCACCTCCCCGTCCAGAGGCCTCCCGAGCCCTGGCTCCTCGGCGACGGCGACTTACCACAGCTGCGGCCACGACAACGACGACGGCGACGACCACGACCACGACAAAACCGACGACGACGACAACCACGACCACGACTACGACCACGACGACCACGACGACGACGGCGACGACCACGACTACGACAACCACGACGACCACGACGACCACGACGACGACGACGGCGACGACGGCGACGGCGACGGCGACGGCGACTGCGACGGCGACGGCGATGGCGACGACGACCAGCACCAGGACGACGACCAGCACCAGGACGACCTCGATGATGACGACGACCCCGTAGTCGACGGCGGCGGCGGTGGCGTCGACGGCGGCGGTGGCGTCGACGGCGACGGCGACGGCGACGGCGACGGCGACGGCGACGGCGATGGCGACGGCGACGGCGGCGACGACGGCGATGACGACGACGACGACGACGACGACGACGACGACGACGACGACGACGACGACGACGACGACGACCAGCACCAGGACGACGACCAGCACCAGGACGACCTCGATGACGACGACCCCGTAGTCGACGACGGCGGCGGTGGCGTCGACGGCGGTGGCAGTGGCGCGGCGGCCAGCCGGGCCAGAAGGTCCGACGTCGCTGCCCGCGGCCACGGCGTGAAGCGCCCTGGCGGACGGGTGGCTTGCTCTGCCCTGGGCTCCGAGGGATTGGGGGGGGGAGGGTCCTCCTCCTCCCGCTCCCCCTCCTGCTCCGTCGCGTCCTCGTCCTTCGCCTCTTCCTCGCCCCCCTTCTCATCCTCCTGCCCGATCTCTTTTGTTACGTTAAAGTTGCCCGCGCTCGGTGTCCTGGCTCCGTGTGGCAGGCCACCGCGGTTTGGTCCCACATGTGATGCGTTTCTTTGGTGCTCCAGCGTGCCTCAGTGCAGATGGCTGGGGTACCATACGGGAGTGCGCCCCCCACTCGTGGAGGTGCCACCTGCTGTCCAGGTCGCCGCCCTGGGCTGTGGTGACGAAGCTGGCGGTTGAATATCACGTATATATATATATATATATATTGTTTTTTTCCTCCTCTCTCTCTCTGTTTCATGCTAGACAAACATGGGTTTGCTTGAGCCGTCGCGTCTTGGTGGCAACGATCCGAGAACAAAGACTGTTCGGAGCGCAGTGCTCGATTTACTAAAGGTCAGGCCCTAGTACTGCAGCAGCCCGCGTGGGCGACACTAAGATATGCAAGACAGTTGGGAGCAGCAGAGATTCAAGAGTGTGCTGCAGCGCCTGGGTGTGGCAAGCATGCCTCCCCCTTTCATCTATACCCGTCCGCTCCCCCACATCACATCAACCCGACCCTCCCAAAGAGCATGTGCGGCCCTTAACGGAAGCCTACAGTGCACAGGGCCCAAGTTCTTATGCCCTGAGCTCGATTCGGGCCAGTGTACCGGTGCCCGTCGAGCTGGATTGAAACGGTGCCGAGGCCGAAGGGCTTGGCTGTCGAAACGCTCGCAGCGGTCGACACGCACGGTCTGCTACTGTCCTCCTCCCCCAGCATCTAATATCTTCACAACCACCACCCCCACCTTCCCTCCATGCTGCCTTCACCGAGGGTCCTGGGCAGTGAAAATCATGCTTGTGCTAATTTTCTGCAGCGTTGGCGGTCGACACGCCCAGAACTCCCTCCCACCACGGCCTGGACTTGGAGACCAGTCGCTCCACACTGCGTGCTCATCGAGTGGCGGCTCAGCATGAGAGATTGGCGACCTACAGTTGCGAGATTGGCGGCCTAACGTTGGGAGATTGGGGGGGCTGATTTTCCTCCTTGAACAACACTCCTCCGTCGCATCCCAAATCCTCTTCGCTCCCCAACCTTCCCCACTTCTCCTCGAGCTGGGGCCTACACTTGGGAAGTAGGCACATTGCATTGCGTGCCCAAAGATGTAAGCATGAGGTTGGCGGCCTAAGCTTGTGAGATCGGCGGCCTAGCTTGATGGATTCGCGGCCTGATCTCCCATCCAGCATCACCCTCCTCTCCCTCCTCTCATCCCCAACCTCCCCCGCTCCTGCAGCCAGCCTACACTTGGGAGTCGGCGCGCTGCATTGCGTGCCCAAAGATCTGAACGTGAGATTTGCGGCCTACACTTGCGATGTCGGCAGCCTAAGCTTGATATATTGGCGACCTGGTCTCCCTTCCTTGCTCAGCCTCCACCAAAGGCCCGCGCCCTCCTCACCCACAACCGCCCCCTCTACGCCTCGGGCGCCAGACGGGTGGCAGAAAGAAACGACCTCCCGTACACGCAAGACAGCCAAGCCATGGTCTGCAGCGGTGGCCACGTGCCTCAAGGGGCCCACCACCACGGCCACGAATGCGGAGGCGGACCCGTCCGAGGAGCGGGTCTACACTCAGCCGCCCTTCGTCTTGGGAACCGCTGCGCTCGAACACACGCCACAACGTCAGGGTGCTCGGTCCACAACGGGTTGGAGGACCTTGGAGCCCCCTCTGCATCCCTTGTCATACGTGATGATCTCCACCAGGCCTCTGTCCAGCGGGGCAGCGCCGCTACTCTGGGCCTTCCCGCGCAGCGCCCCCGATGGCAACCGTTATGTCGAAACGAGGCCGCCGCTGAGGGTGTCGCCCAGGATGCCCAGGCCTCCCCTCCGCCGCAAGAGTATATACACAGACACCCTCCAACGGATTGTTTCGGGGCTTCCGGGAAGGGTGGCGGTTTATAAATCACCACTCAGAGCCGGCGATTTCATACACTGCCGCCCTCCCTGAAGATACATGCAAAGTTCGTCGGCGGGTGTCCGTGTCCGTGTATGTATTGGTTGACCCCAAACTTGATTCCTCTCGCTTCGCGGGGTGCACGTTCGGATTGCGGAGTTCGCGGGCATTTGGTGCGTTTTGGAAGGGGCTCGTCGTTTCTATGGGCATCGACTTCATGATGTTTGGCTGACTTGGACTGCCCCAGGCCGTCTTCGGGCGCGCTAGGGTTGCATGGATCTTTCGAGAGCCGTCTTGAGGACCACTCTGTGTTCAGCTATGCAGCGATGTGAACGACCTCAGAGGAACGCGCGTCGAGCCAGGTGCACCATGTCTACGTTCGGTCGGAAGGCCGCTTGTACAAGCGTCGCACATGCACGGAGGACCAGCTTGCGGAGCTCTTTGCTGAGGCTTCCCGTGCGATACGCAGGGGCGTTCTCGAGCCCCTCAGGGGGGCTTCGTGGGGACCTCTTGGCCTCGGGGGGGCTTTTCGGGAGCTCTTTCGGCCCTTGTGGGGCCATGTCGGTCCGTTTGGGGGCCTTCTCGGCGGGCTTGGAGTCCGTCTGACTCCTCCAGAGGCCGTCTTGAGGGCTTCTCGCGACCGCCTTGCGGCGTTCTTGGGGTCCTCTTGGGCTGCTTTGGGAGCACGTCAGTTCCGGACGTTGGTTCCTCTCGCTTCGCGGGGTGCACGTCCGGACCACGTACAGTCCAGTCGTTGCGGGGCCTCTTGGGAGCTTCTTTGTGGCCTCTTGGAGGTGTCTTGGGTGGGGGCTTCTTGGAGCCTCGTGGGGGCGTCTTGGGCTGTCTTGGGGCGCTTGTGCTGCGTGTGGCCCAATCGGAGGCCGTCCTGGGGGCCCCTCGCTGCCGTCCCGGGTTTTTTTCTTGGGGCGCTGTTGCGCCGTCTGGCGTCTTCGGCGGTCGTCTTGGGGGCCTCTCGGAGCCGCCGTTGAGGTCTCTCGGGGTCGTTCTGCTCCGCGGCCAGAGCACGCGCAGTAAAGTCTTTGTCGGGCCTACTTGGGTGTCTTGGGCGCCTCCGAGGCCCTCTTCGGGGCTTCTGTGGGGCCTCTTGGGGCTTCTTGAGCGCCTTTTGGGCTATCTCGGGGCGCTCTTGCGCCGTCTGGTCTCTGACTCTCTGCGGAGGCCGTCTTGGGGGGCTCTCGTGGGGCCTTTGGGGCCGTTTAGGGGGCCTTTTACGGCAATCTTGCGTGGGCCGTATAGAGACCTTTTTGGGAGCGTCGTGGGCCGTTTTGGGGCCACCTTGGAAGCAGTTTGGGCCGCCATGGCCCCCCGAGAGTGCAAAAGGCGCAAGCGCGAAAAATAAATGAACACCAACGCAAAAATCAATATTTTTGGCCTCCAGAGGCGGTTTTGAGCATCCTTTAGGAGCCCCCTTGGGCCATCATGGGGGCTTCTGAGGCCCTCCTCAGGCCATCTTGGGCTGTCTTGGGGCCGTTTTGAGCCGTGTTAAGAGCATCTTGAGCCGTCTTGAGACCGTCTTGGCCCCTCAGGAGGCCCACGGTGCCGAAATCACAGACTTCCGTTAGGTTTTGGACAGTTTTTGTATTAGACGTGGAAATGGGTCGGCACCCCGGTGGCGGCCCTGGGGGGGATTAAGGGGGGCGCCTTTGCAACGTATGATGACACAATGTTTTGCAATTGTCCTTCCTCTACGCATCGTGGCTGGGCCCTGGCGTCGCACACCCGTCTTGTCGGACTGCCAAGACGCTTCGCTGCAGTCTGGACGTGGATTTTTGGGCTTGCGCCACACCGCTGACCCCCTGGGGAACTGGCGGTTGTTGTGTGTTGCTCCTGAGGGCCTCTTGGGCGCCTTTGGGGGCTTCTTGGAGCTCTATTGGGGCTTCATGGGGGCCTCTTGGGTTGACATTTTCAGTATTCGCCGTGCACGCATGGGGCATGGGGCGAGAACCCGCGTATACAGACAGAGGGCGTCTGTCAAAACATTTTTTGGTCTGCGGGTCGAGAGCGAGCCTCTTCCAGTTAAGAGCTAGGCGGGCCACGCAAAGCACTAATGGGGGAGACAAAGCACAGGCGGGCGGGGCCTCAGGCGGCCGGAGGGCGGGCCGGGGTGCAGGCGGTGCCGAGGAGCATGCACAGGAAAAGGAACGCCTTGGACAGGAGCCGGCGGCGAAGTCCCGGAGGGTGAGCGGCGCGGTGTTGCCGTCGACGGCGCATCGTAAACACCATCCTCAAGTGATGCGTGAGGATGAACGCGACCAGGTCGACGTCCAGGGGAAAGAAGTCCACCATGAAGGCGATGAGCAACGTTGTGCCACCAGATGGTGAGGATGGGGCCCAGGAGATGAGGAGGACCACGAAGGCGATGTGCAGCGTTGTGCCACCGGGTGGTCGGAAGCGGCCTAGGGTGGTAGTCCAATCCGCGTCCAGGGAGCAGCCGGCAAGAGGTGCGGCCAGAAACATGGCCGTCCGTGTCCGACTGGATGTCGGTGGTGTGCAGGGAGGAAGCCTGACCTGCACAGTCAGCGCGTGAAGAAGTGCGGGTGCCACGCGTGATGCGCTGACGACCGCGTGGCCAAGGGCTGGGCCTGAGCCGCGCTGCCCGAGGCAAGCGGGGCCGCCGAAGCGGCAAGGTGCAGTGCCCAGCGCCGGGCCGAAGCTGCGCTGTGCCGGGCGCCGCCGCCATGGGAAGGGGGGGGGGGGGCGAGCGGGGGGCGGCGGAGCGAACGGGGAGGAGAAAGGCCGGCGTCCCGCGCCAGCCGAAGTCGCGTCAGCCTGCGCCAGGGTGCTCACGTGGGGACAAGCCCCAATGGGTACAGGTAGGACACAAGGTCCATTGCAGGTAAGGACAGGGCGTGCCACGCAAGTCGTCGATGCACCAGTGCGTCGCAGATGGGTGCAGGTGGGACGCAGAGTCCCAGATCCTTGAATACGGGAGAGGGGGGGGGAAGGAAAAGACGGGGCCCAGGTGGAATGGCAAGTGGCCGTAGCCCGTGGAACGCGGGCGCCACAGGGGCAGTGGGGTGCGGGTGGGGGGGTAGAGGAGGACACGCGGTCCCCAGCCAGGTGAGAGAGGCGGGGTGGGGGTCGGGGGCGCAAGTGGTGGGGGCGAGTGGCTGGAGCGAGTGCCGCGGGGGCAAAGTGGTGCAGGTGGGGTGGGGGGGGGGGGGCACAGGTGGTGGGAGTGCGGGGGCGTCTGTGCCGTGCTGCCGTAGGGCGAGGGGGTCAGGTCGGCGGTTGGTCCGTGCCGTGGGCGCTTTCCAGTCCAGGTGCCGTGGTGCCCGGAGCTGCGAGCCTGGTCCTCTTCGTGCCCGTCGCTCTGGTCCGCTCCTCGCGCCTCGCCGCGGGGGGGTACCTGGCGCCCCTTGCCCGCGCCCTTTCTGCGGCACGGGAATCGCTGCTGCAACTGAACCCAGTTGACGCCGAGGTTCAGCGCGTCGCTCATGGCCCTCGAGTCGGTTGTGGATGCGGAAAGAGTGCAGGAAACTGACGCAGGTTTGCTGGTCGTGTCGTCGTGGGTCGAGTGCGCCCTTGCCGTGCTGCTTGGCGAGCGCGTGCCAGGCGCCTGTGAACATCGCACCCAGGGTGGCTCGGAGCCGCTTTATCGTCTTGCCGAGGGTCTCCCCGGGGAGACTCCACTGGATGCAGCTGATCTTGGCTCTATACAACTGCTGTCCCGTGTCGGGGTCCAAGGGTTCGGGCCCCTGGTGCGCGGCGGGCCTAGCTTCCCGTGGCGGGGTAGTCGGCGGGGGGTCCTTGGAGCGGCGGCTGCTGCTGCTTCTGCTTCTGCTTCTGCTGCTGCTGCTGCTGCTGCTGCTGCTGCTGCTGCTGCTGCTGCTGCTGCTGCTGCTGCCGCTGCGTCCGCCGCCTGTCGTTTGCCGCGCGCCTGGCCCGCCAGCGGCGTCGGCGTCGCCAGGGGCCGGGTTTCGACTCAGGGGCGGAAGGGGGACAGGGAAACCGCCAGTTGCCAGGGCAAGGCCGGGCCTCCACCCGTTGCCGGGCGAACGGTTTGGAGGGCCGTTGCGGCCTGGCCGTCGCCGTTCTTCGGTGATCGAGCCCGCGCCCGCGCCGCTGCCGGGGAGGAAAGGGCCAGGGTGCTGAGAGCCGGCCATGGGAGACAGTGTCAGAACCCCGAATCATCAGGGGTAACTCGGGTCAGGGCTAACTCGGGTTCGTTTTTCGGGAGTCCGAACCCGAGTTATCCCGGACCCGAGTTACCCCGGATATTTCGGGCGTCCAGAGCCCCGAATCATCAGGGGTAACTCGGGTCAGGGGTAACTCGGGTTCCTTTTTCGGGAATCCAAACCCGAGTTACCCCGGACCCGAGTTACCCCGGATAACCTGGGCGTCCAACAGCGGGTGGTTGCCAGCTCGTGCCCTTGCTCCAATTCCTGCGCCGGCGCCGCTTCCGTGCCCTCCCCGCGGGCGGCAGCCGCATCCTTATCGTGGGGTTCGTCAGGATCCTGCTCCCCATGCTGCTCTCGCTTGCTACTCAGCGACAGCCCCGCCTGGCTGGGCCCGCCGCCAGAGTCGCCTATGGCTTCGCGCGGCCCGGCGGCTGCTCGGCCAGGAACGCCTGGCGAGCCATGCGTGTCAGGGCGGGCCGTGCGGTAGGCCTCCAGGCAGGGGCCAGATCGCCTCCGGCGACTGGGGCAGAGAGGGGCGCTGCCCTGCGGCGTGTGGGGGCAGGCCCCTCTCGATGGCGTTCGCCGACGGACCTGTGCCTGTATTCGCTCGTGGGCGCGCCCCCATCAGTAACCGCGAGGCGATAGCCCGATGTGGGGACGCTGCGGGTAGCTCCGGCCGAAGGCGCGTTGTCGGGCACCGGTCCTTTCGGGGCGTCCGTCGCCACCCCCGACGAGGCCACGGCTTCGGAGACGGGCTGCGGCTCGCTATCCGCACGGGCAGCCGCGCTGCCAGGGGAGGGAGGGCGAATGGGCGCGAAAGGGTTTCTGTCGACAAGCTGGCGGATGGCCTCGTTGTCCCGCCTCTGCAAGGCTGGTCCGTTTTTCCTACCGGGCCCAGCTTCTCTAGAAGAGATCTGCTGGCTCGGGCACTGGGATGCGGCGGCAGACGGCCATGTACTTGCTTGAGTGGCCAGGGCGAGGCCCGGGTCAGGGCTGTCGCGGCAGCCCCCGACTTCGGCTACGGCTGCGGACACGGGTTCGCTGTGGGTATTCCTGCCTGCCCCAGGCCCCCCGTCGATCGGTACTTCGAGGTCTCCTCTAGTGCTGGTCGCCTCCCTGGCCTCAGCGGTTGGCCTATTGAGGCTAGTGCTGCGGGGCACTGTCGAGCTGGGTGGGCCGAGGGGGCGGCCGTCCACGTCCATTGGGGAGGAGTCATCCTGCCCTGAGGGTTCTGCTGGGTCGCCGAGTGGGCGTGGTGCTTCTGCTGTGGTGTGATGGCTCAGGATCGCCGCGCCTGATGAACTGATGAACTGAGCGGCGGTTCTGCGTTGTCCATCGTGACTGGGGGTTCGTCGACGTCACCACGGTCTGGTCCAGGGTGCGGTCTCGTGGCGGGGTCGGAGTTCCCGTTGTGGGGATAGGCGTCACGTCTTCATTGATCGCCCTCCAGATGGTCGTCTGTCGTTGTCACTGGGCGTCGAGGTGGTCCGTGCTCAAGGCGGTCGTCGGGGAAGGGGTTGGGGCTCGATACACCGCGGTTTGCAGCAGTGGCAGGATCCTCCGGATGGTCGTCTGTCGCCCTGGTCACCACGGCAGGATCCGCTTCGAAATTCTGAACTCCTAGTCCCGTGACGCTCACGCTGTGGATTCCCTCGCGATTTATTTAGAACTCGCGGAATCGCGCTATCGCTGAAGACTTCCTCGCGATTCATGCAGGACGCACGCTTCAGCAATCCGCCTGCTCGACCTGGCCGCCTGCGCTCGCCTTCCCCGCCCGCCCGGTAGGGTCTACCCGCCCGATCTACCCGTCTGGTTCCGCCACGTGTTTTCTGCACGTAGCCCCCCCCTCCTGCTAATCTCTGTCTTCCTGCATCATCCTGCCTCCCCCTTGTCCCTTCCTTCGGTCCGTCTTCTCTTTCCCTGCCGTAGGGGCTGCACGAATGACACGTTGCAGGTAAGGAAGGTCTATACCCCCAAGAGAGATCGATCGAAGACGAAGAGGGCGGGTATCCAGGGTTTGGGAAACACATGCTGGTTGACACGCGCGCGTATAAGAGCGAACAGTCTTAAGATGAGTGTTGTTGTTGCTGCTGTTGTTGCTGTTGCTGTTGCTGTTGCTGTTGTTGCTGCTGCTGCTGTTGCTGTTACTGCTGCTGTTGCTGTAGCACTTGCTGATGTGCATGATGATGGTGGTGATTCATGTGATCATGATGACGATGGCGATGACAATGCTCATGACGCTGCTGCTGATGAGGTTGATGATGGTGGTGATGATGACGATGATGCTGATGATGTTGATGTTGATGCAGACGTTGGTGATGACATCGTGTTTCAACTGTTGTCGGATACCTACTGCGTCCGCAATGCTTCGGATGTTTTCAGGGATTTGGATCAGGATGGGGGAGCGGGTTGGGAGATGAGGCGCTTGGGCGCGATGGTGGATTCAAGGGGAGTGATTCTGACGCTGCCGCACGGAGGTGTTTGCGGATCGCTCCTCCACTTATTGTTCATCCTCTTGCAGCCCCCCTCTCTTCCTTTGGCCCCCGCCCTCCTCGTCCTATCCCCTCCCTCCCTTCCTGCCCCTCCTCTCCCTCCTCCCTGCCTCCTCCCCGTCCACATCCCCCTCGACCTCCCTCTCCCCCCCTTCCCCCTCTCACTTCCCCTTCTCCCTTTTCTTCCTTTTGCCCTCTCCTTCCCCTCCCCCGTCCGTTCTCCCCCTGCGGTGCAGGGGGTGAATGGGAGGAGGGCAGGGTGGGAGGAGCCCGAGGGAGGGAGGAGGCAAGCCAGGACGCCAACTGCCCACCTGCATCACTCCTGTGGCCCTGGGACCGGAGACGACGGATCCGCCCTCCTGGCCTGGCTGGCAGATGTTGGTTTGTTTGTTTGTTTGCTTGCTTTGTTCGGCTTCTGCCTTCGAGCGGCTGTAGTCCCTGGGGCTTCCGGGCAGCTCCGCGCACCTCCGGACCTCCAGGGACCTCCGAAGAGCTCCAAGGCCTCCTCCCCATGCTTCTCCCACCCCCCTCCCCCAGCGCCTGGCCCCCCTCCCTCTTCTCATCCTCTGCTTCTTCCCTTCCCTTCTCTTGGCATCGCTCGGACCTGTGAACGTTTGCCCGGCAGGACCATCGAGAAGCATTTTGTCTCATCCTGCGAGACATGGGCGGGGCGGGGAATGGACGTCCTAGCGATGGCGAGTCCTGCGCTCCTCCTCCCTGACGGATTCCCTGCTGCTGCTCTCGATGTCCTCCTCCCCCTCCTTCCTTCACCCTCTCTCTTCCTGCGCCCCTCTGTTCCTGTTCTGCCGTCCTTGCTTTTCCCCGCTAGTTTTAAGTCGGGCCTGTCCCTCTTCAGGGGGAATATTCAAAAATGCCTCCCAAATAGTATGGGAACTATTTTTTTGACCATTTTGAGCATTTTTAGGGTATTTTTTGGGGTATTAAAAACTTTTCGTCCAAAATCAGCCTGTAGGGGGACAGGCCCGACTTAACGCTAGTCACCGCTAGGTGTCAGGCATCGGAACCTTCAGAAAAATGGCGGGAGCAGGGGAAGTTGAAGAAGGTGGGCAGGAAGGGTTGAAAGCTTGTTGCGGCACGCAACCCTTCTTAGATGAGCTTGGTTGCACTGCCCGAGCTCTTTTCCCTGGTGTAGGATGCGCCAGCAGCGGCCTCTTTATACAGCGGCCTGCTATTTGCACGCTGTCCAGTACATATGTTTCTACCCGGACTGATACACGCCGCGTCAGGTGGCCGCGACCATTGGGGTCATCGCAGTGCTCGAAATTTGAGCACTGCTCGGCGTGCGCGCCTGAAGGAGGAGGAGGAGGAAACTGGGGGAGGAAAACCAGGGTGCGCCCAGCATGTGTCGACGACGCTGCAGCACAGCTTCCCGCTCAAAGTCCCCTCCTCAGAGGCCCCCTGCAGGCATTCTTTTTGACTGCGGCAGGCGCGCCCTTGAAGTGCGAGCGCCTCATGGGACCGTAACTCGGGTGGGAGGCTGCCTTGTGCCCTTGGAGCTACAAGGAGCACGACGAGGTGCGAGCATAAGGTCCAAGGACATGTCCACAGCAACTCCGCTTTGAAGCACGGATCACCATCCGTCCGTGTAACAGTTGCGCAATGTCAAGCCTTCGGCCGTGACATCCTATGCCCTCCAGCAAGGGTCTCCTTGTGAAGCAGAGCCGCCTATTTTACATACATATAGATGTACATGTATACACATTATATATGTGTATGTGTATCTATATTACATATTTATATATATATATATAGCTGCCGTCAACGCCGAGCGTCTAGTAGTGCAGTTCGAGGACGTCTCAAGCGATATCCCCGTCTTTGCAAGGCATCGCCCTCCATCCGTGTAGTTGTTGGATATGTTTGCGCATCTAGTAGTAAAGCGTGATAACATCTCACGCGAGAGTCCGGTTTTAAACAGGAGTCGCCCTCCGTCCGCGTAGCAGTTTGACAGTTTGGACGTATGGTGAGTATTTGTTTTGATGCTTCGCGCATCACCACCAGCCAATCCAGAAACGATGCCCAGGGGAGAGATTTAGATGGCAATGCGTGCATGTGAATCTTTTCTGAGAGTGCCTTGGGTAAAGGGGGCCGCGCGTCACAGCACGCCCGCAACCGATTGTGCTCAAGCTGGCACCAGCGCGCGCGCCGGAAGACAGCTCCCCCCTCTCCACATGGATTGGCTGCTCGGCCGGCGATACGTCGACTGGATCCTCGGGACCGTCTCCCAGACGGTCGTGAGCTGGTCGGCTCGCTGCCCAGCTTGCCCGGCGTGCCCGCAGCCGCCGACGTGCCCGGCCTGCCCGGCGGCAGCGCCGATCCACGTCCACCCGCCGGCGGTCTGCCCGGCGGCCCCGGAGGCGCCCGCGCCTCCGCCGGCGCCCGTCCTGACTAGCGCCGAGCCGGAGGGCGCGACGTGGGCTAGCAGCTGGCTAGGCCGTGCTCTGGTGGTTGTCAACGTCCTCATCTTCTCGGTCCACGCCCTGAGGCTCGTCGGGGCCATCGTCTGGAAGTTCACGCCGGCCTTGACGCCGGCCACGATCAAGGATGGCTCAGGAGCCCGCTCCGCCGGGCCTCCGGCAGTGGGCTTGGGTGCAGTACGCAGGCGCGCCGCTGTGGCATCAGCGGCGAGTGTGGGGCCGGGTGACTCAGCAAATCCGACTGACCCTCGGTGGTCTCCTTTGCGAGTCCTGATCTCGTCGCCGGACGGTGACGTGTACGAGGAGCTGTACGACCTCTCGGACGGCTCGCTGGCTGCGGTCCGCTTCGAGGATGACCGCCACACTCGCCCGGCTGGCCTGGACGCTGGCGACCTCTACCGGTTCAGACGTGCCTTGACGGCGGCCGAGGAGGTGGCGATCCAGAACGAGCTGAACGCCTACGCGCGGGACGTGTACCTGGCGGCGGAGCGGGCTGCAGGTCGGGCTGCCGCTGTGCCTCCTGCCGGGGCTGCCGTCTACTTCACCTTCGGTCCCCCCGCGGACGGCGTCGCCCCACCTGGGCCCGCGCCGGCTGCCCCGGCACCTGGCGGCGGAGCCGCCGTGGCCGCAGCCGTGGCCGTGGCCCCGGCAGCGGTGGGCCCCCCGCCTCCGGCCGCCGCTGCGCCGGCTGCCGCCGCAGCCGCCCCGCTCGCGGCTGCGATCGCACCGGCGGGGCTCCTGGGTCCGACGGCCGTGCCGGGGCCAGGCGGGCAGTGGGTCTACGTCGAGACCACGACCGTCGCCCGACGCGGAGACCCAGTCACGATCGACGGCTCGGAGCTCGTGCGAGGAGCTATCGGACTGAAGCAGGGGCCTGACGGAAGCTGGGCGGCCATCCGGCGGATCCCGACCTCGCAGGTGGCCTATCGTGGCGCCGAGGCTGCAGCAGACGCTCGCCTCCAGCCAGTGGCGTTGCTCAGCGACGGCACGCGCCAGCGGGTGCAGTTCCACGAGAGTGTCGACAGGCTTCGTGAAGAAGCCTTCCCGGACTGGCCGCTCGACGGCCCAAGGACGACGATGTGGTGCCTTCGGTTTCTGGACAGGAAGCGTGGGGGCGCCATCGAGCATTTCCACCAGTTCGTGTCGTACTACAGGTTGTCGCGCGACGACTTCAGGGTGACGCACCACGAGTCGATCGTGCGGATGATTGACTACTTGATGACGTGGGACCTCCTGGACTTGCCCAACGTGGCGGGCGTGGCGGTCATCCTGCGGCAGGCGCAGCTGTACGAGTACATGCCGCCATGGAGTACGAGGCCCGTGACGCCGGCGGCTCGGCTGCCGCCTCGGCCGAGGGCGACCCCAAGGCGAAGGCGAAGGGCAAGCCCAAGAGCCGGGGCGGCGGCGGCGGCCTCTTGAATTTCGGGTTCGTGGACGAGGCAGGTGTCTTCACCGGCGCTGCCCGCGAGGACGGCCGCGTGATGGTAGCTCCGGCGCTGCTGGAGCACGTGGCCAAACAAGTAGAGCGCGACGCTGGGATCCTTAAGCAGATCAGGAAAGCTAAGGAGGAGCGTCGCGCTCTGGCCCCATGACGGAGTGGGCTCTGGAGGCGGATTCCCCGCCCGCCTTCAGCGAGTGCCAAGGGGGCTTCGCGGACATGGCCTCCCGCGCTGCAGATGTATCTGAGGCCGGCCCGCCTCGTCAGCGACGGCGTCGGGATCTGTTTCCACTCCCACTTCCGGCTGATGGTGAGCGCAGTTTTGTGGCTACAGACCTCTCCCGTGTAACGAAGAAGCGGCTCCATAGGGCCAGTCACCGCCGCGAGATGGTCGTCGACGCCGTTCGCGCCACGAATGAGATGTATACTGGTTCGTGCTGCCCGCGACCTACTGGACTTGCGAGCCCCGTGGTTGCCCAGCAGAAGGGTCTGGCGGTGATCCAGGAGGCCGTCGATGCCTTCGGAATGCGCCCGCCCGACCTCGCACCCGCAGGAGCCCTCAAGGAGCTCCGCGTTGCGCAATCATACGACCAGGAGTCCGCCGTGATTGCGCCGGTGGCCTTCGACCGAGTCGATCTGATCTCCTTGCCGAGCGTGGGCTCCGAGCCGAAGCCCCTGTCCATGCTCATCGGGGGCGACAGCGTGAGCATCGGTCACCGCCTTCAACAACTACTTCTGCCCCGTGAGCGGGGGCTCGCCCGGGTGGCGGAGCACGCTCCGAAGCGGGCGTGTTCGGGCCCCAACCTGAGGAACCCTCGTCAGTATAAGAAAGTTTTGCACCGCCTTGTGTCATCAAATCTTGTTGAGTTCCATGCCGAAGCGTTGAGCTCAGTGGGGGTGTTCTTCGTGTATAAGAAATCAGGGGCCCTAAGGCTCATCTTGGATGGTCGTGTCCGTTCTCAGTTGTTTGACGAGCCTCCGAAAGTGAAGTGGGCGACTGGAGCCGCATTCTCTCAGCTCAGAGTTGACGGCGAGGAGCCAGTGTGCGTCGCGGGTGTGGATATTGCGGGCGCGTTTTATACCATGCTTCTTCCTCCCTGGCTTCGTCGATATTTCGGACTTCCCAAGGTCAGGGCTGGCGAGATGGGGATCTCGGTCACCGCCGGCGGGCAGCCCGTGTCGCCATCGCAGTGGGTGTACCCGTGTTTCAGATGCCCTCCGATGGGGTTCAGTCTTAGCCTTTGGCTGTGCCAGACAGTGAACGAGACCGTCTCGCGCCGAGCTGGCTTAGTCAGGCCCGAGCGCGTGCTTGTGGATCGCTCGCCGGCCCCCGTCATTGACACTGATGTTGTCCACGCAGAGTGCGATGGCATTTTCGTTGCGCTATCGTTATCAGAGGCGTCTGCTATTGCTGCTGCTCGTCAGGTCGATCATCATCTACGTGCAGTGGGTTTGCCTACTCATGGGGTGGAGCGGTGTGGGCGGGGAGACTTTAGGCTGGGCCTTCGACTCTAACTCGCCCGTGATCTCGCTCAACCCCCGGCTTAGGTGGAAGTTATACCCTGGGCTCCAGGAGATCCTCCGACGTGGGTATTGTTCGGGGAAGGAGATGGTGAGGATTGTCTCGCACATCACGTCCAGGGTGCTCATTGGGAGGGAGCTTCTCTCGTGCCTTGGGGCTGTCTACAAGTTTGGGGAGATATACCGCAGCCGCGTTGCTAAACTTTGGCCAGTCGTCCGTCGAGAACTTTGTTGGGCCCGGGCTCTCCTCATCTTCTGCAGCGGGGACCTCGGGCTGCCCTTCGACGCCGCCCCCACCTGCCTGGGCGCGTCGTCCTGGGGCTTCGGGGTCACGCAGCGGGAGGTCTCTGAGGACTCGGTTAAGAACCTGGCCATGTATAACGAGCGCTGGCGTTTTTCTCGGGAAGCTAAGCGCCAATGTCTTGGTCCTCGGGCCGCTGCAGCTCCAGGCTTGAGTTCCCCGGGGCCCGCCCCCGTGGGGGCCGCTGGCACCCGGTCCTCCCGGTGCCCTGGCGGCGCCCAGCTCCGCAGGTCACCCTGGAGGCCCGGGCGGGCGTGATGGCGCTTAAGCACAAACTCCGCTCGAAGAGGTCCTTTCGGAAAGCCCGCGTGATGCTGAACGATGCTATGGCGCCCATTTTGGCTCTGGCGAAGGGTCGGTCTTCAGCGCCCGCCCTCCTTGCAGTCCGCCGGCAGGTGGCCTGTCTGTTGCTAGCCTCGGGCTCGGCGGCGCGCTGGAGGTGGCTGCCGTCCGAGTTTAACTCGGCCGACCCGGCGTCGCGGAACCGGCCTGGCGCCAGGCTCATGAGGCGTGGCATGCTCCGGCGGTCGTCACCCCAGGGGGCGCCCATTGCCGGGCCGTCGGGAGTGCTCCGCAGGCGCCCAGCAGCTGCGCCGGCGACCGCCGACACCAGGAGCCGCAGCCGCCGGGACCGCTCGCAGAGCCTGGCCGCGTTGTCGTGGGGAGACCAGGCAACCCGTCGGGTCGCCCGGAGGCTTGCCTTCCCGGCTGCTGCGATGACAGCGGCTACCGGCGTGCTGACCTTCTTGGAGACGCAGGCTGTCGGGGAGGCGACTCGCCGGGACTACGAGGCCAGGGTCTCGAAGTTCGAGACGTGGGCGTCCTCGGTCCAGCTGCCGATCAGCGACGCGACCGAGATGGACTCAGCGCTGGTGACGTTCTTCAACCAGCTCTCCTTCGACGGCTACCCGCGCGAGGAGGCGACGAAGTACATGGCGGCGCCGGTGCACTTCCGGGCCGCGCCGGGCAGACTGCAGGTGGCCTTTCCTCGAGCCGCTCGCGCGGCGAAGGGCTGGGCCCGGCTAGTGCCGGCGCGCTCTCGGCTCCCGCTGCCGTGGCCGATCGCCTGCTTGATGATCGGTTGGATGCTGAACGTCGGCGAGGCGATCGCGGCCGCGGCGACGGCGGTCTGCTTTGCGCTCTACCTTCGCCCGGCAGAGCTGCTGAGCCTGCAGCGCGAGCAGGTGGCCCCGCCGGCCGAGGGCGCCCCGCCGGGTCAGACCTTCCTCAACTTCTGGTCGCTGGTCCTGCGCCCGATGGAGAGCCTCCAGCCGTCGAGGACGGGCGTCTACGACGAGGGCCTCCTCCTGGACAGCCCGGAGTTCACCTGGCTGCCGATGCTGCTCCAGGCCCTTCGGGCTCGGACGGCGCCGGGCGGCCGCATCTTCGAGATGAGCTATATATTGCCAGTGGGCCCTGGTGTTCAGGCGCGCGGCGACCGCCCAGCGCCTCCGCGTCCTGGGGCCCCCCGCCCCGTGCACCCTCCGGCACGGGGGGGCCTCCCACGAGTGCCTCTCAAAGTTCAGGAGCCTCGGCGAGATCGAGAAGAGAGGGAGGTGGGTGTCGGACTCGCCCCTTCGGCGCTGCACCAAGGGCGGCCGCGTCGCGGAGCAGATGCGGCGCCCCCCGGTCGCCGAGCAGCGCCGCGCCACGCGCCTGGTCGGCAGCATTGGCGGGCGCCTCTCCGGCATCTGACGCAGTTCGTGGAGGAGAGCGGGCACCAGTCCTCCTGGAGGTGTTCAGCGGGTCTGGGCGCCTCTCTTCATCGTGGAGGCGTGTCTGCCACGGCCGGCTGGCCGCCTTCGAGCTTGACATCAAGCAAGATCCTGGATCAGACCTTCTGCAACGCCGGGTGCAGCAACTCCTTCGAGGTTGGCTCCGCTCCGGCCTGGTGGCGGCCGTGTGGATCGCCGCGCCCTGTCAGTCAATGTCGCTAGCGCGTGACCGACCGGGCGGACCCCCACCTCTGAGAAGCAGCTCGCACCCTGAAGGCCTGCCTGACCTGTCCCCCGGTGACGCTCTGAAGGTTCTGCAAGGAAATAGGCTTTGCTTTCAGCTTTAGTCTTTTTGAGTTGGCGCTGGCCCTTGGGGTCCCGGTTGGCCCGGAAAACCCTGGGTCCTCCTGGCTCTGGAAACAGCCTGTCGCTCGGCGTGTTTCAAAACGGTCTGGGGTCCAGCGCCTGACGGTTGATTTTTGTGCTTTCGGCACCCCGTGGCGAAAGCGTACTCCAAGCCTCTATGCTAATGCCGACCTGTCTGTCCTCCGTCCCTGCACGCGTTGTGGCCGAGGTATATGCTCGTTCTCAGGTAGGCCCCGCACCGAGCTAGCCGGTAAAGATATCACAGGTAGATTTCTCACGGCTATCGCCGAACCGCGCCCAAGCGATTTGTGTAAATACATTGCTCGTGCCTTTTTAAAGCTCATCGTAATCATGTGTTTCGGGGGATGTGGTCTAAGGTGGCCCCTCGCCTTTAAGTCGAGGTTCCAGATATAATGTTTCGGAGTTCGCCGATTTTGTGGTTTTGTGCTGACTGCTGCCGGTCTCGAGGACTGGCGCCTGATTGCGTCCTCTCGTCTAGCGCTCTGGGCTCCAGTGAGCGCACATATCAAATCTTCGGTCTGGCCACTGACCAAAAAGAGCTCCTCGGAAAAAAAAGATGGCAATGCGTGCGTGTGAATCTTTTCTGAGAGCGCCTTGGGTAAATGGGGCCGCGCGTCACAGCGCGCCCGCAACCGATTGTGCTCGAGCTCCCTCCCGTGCCCACCCGCGGAGCAAAATCTACGCGAGGTGTTGTGCTGGCTGCTGCCGGTCTCGAGGACTGGCGCCTGATTGCATCCTCTCGTCTACCGCTCTGGGCTTCAGGAAGCACGCAGATCAATCCCTCGGTCTGGCCACTGAGGAAAAATAGCTCCTCGGAATAACAGATATGCATAAGTGAAGCAAGGCGACTAACCAAGGTGAAATTGGAATTCTCTGGGAGCCTCTTGAAGGCCTCTTGGAGCCATCTCGGAGCTCTTGCGACCCCGATGGTTCTCTTGGGGCCCTGTTGCTTGGCGCCGTCCTGAAGGCCATCGAGCAAAACAGATGGGGACTTTTATCGGCCCCCCCCCCTGTCCGAGCCTGAAGCATAATCTCATAGGGCCCAGGTGTGGCGCTAAGGGGGCGCTCTTGGGCGCTCTTGGGGCCCCCTTGAAGCCTTCTGGCCTCTCCTGGGGCTCTCTCGGGTGATCTTGGAGCCGTCTCGAGGCCTCAGAAGCCCGCTGGAAGCGGAAAGGCGAGACGACCAATCACATTGATTTTCCTAAGGTTTGGATGTTGTTTGGGCCTCGCGGAGACGTTGCTGCAACCAGAGCCCGGCTGGGGCCGTCTTGGAATGATTTTGGTGTATTTTCGCTGCTGTGCTTCCAAACTGTAGCGACTTGTGGGTATGTTGCCGCGTGATTGTGGGTCGGTTTCCTTCGGGCCTCGCGGCCGGGACAGAGAAGGAAACTGGGAAAGGAATTGGGGAGGCGACGAATAGAGCAACGAAAATGACACGAAGTTCGGTGCCGCGCCATATTTCCGAGGATGGGTTGGTATCCCCCAGGAAGATGCGTGCATTTGCCAGTGGATGGGCCAGCACGCCCAAGCGGTGTCTTGCGCACGTGGCCGCAAATCCGACCCCCGGCGGCCTTCGAAAATCCTTGACGGAGCTCGGGGGGGATCAATTTCTGGTAGAGCATGGTGGGGTTGGCGAGGTAAATTCACAGATAATCCGTAAGGGCTTCGCCTCCATCCGGCCCCCTTATTTTTAGAATGGGATTGTGAAGCAATGTCGGGACTTCACGCGATGGCCAATATTAATTTACAAGGGTTTATGGCTTCGGTGGCGCGAATACCATGTAATTTACAATGGTTTATGGCTCCGGGGACGTGAGTATTTGGTAATTTACGAGGGTGTGTGGCCTCGGGGACGCACACATTGTATAATTTACATTGGTTTATTGCCTCTGGGGCGCCATTATTGTTTAATTTGCGAAGTTGTTTGGGCCTCGGGGGCGCGATCATTGTGTAGTGTGCGAGTGTTTTATGATCTCGGAGACGCGCGCATTGTTTATTTTACAAGGGTTTATGGCCTCGGGTGCGCCAATATTGTTTCATTTGGGAAGGTTTATGGCCTCGGGGACGCGAATGTGGTATAATTTGCTAGGGTTTACGGCCCTGGGGACGTGAATATTGCAAAATCTTTGAAGGTTTATGGTTTCAGGGGCGCGAGTCTGGCATATTCTACATGGGTTGATGGTTTCGGGGGCACGAATCTTGCGTAATTTTCAAGGGTTTTTGCCTTCGGGGACCCCACGATTGTTCAATTCGCAAAGGGATTTGGGCTTCGGGGGCGCGAATCTGGTGCAATTTACTTGGAATTTGGCCTCGGGGACGTGAATCGCATGTATTTTGACGTGTCCCACGCTCCCCCAGAAATTCAGACAACGCGATTTGGGCGTGATGAAAAAGATGTTTTGGGGCCTCGCGCGTCCAACAACAATTAACAGTAAGGAAGCAGAGAGCAGGACTGTAACAGTTGAAATTGGAAGCTGCAACTTGTACAGATAGCTGCAATCTGTGCAAAGTAACCGATGGCATAGGCAAGCGGTCTGAAGATTGGGGAGACAGATGGGATCGACAATGGTGAGAGGAGGTTCCGCGCGAAATGGGCGCTTTTCGATTCATCAGGTTAGAAGCCAATGAGATCCTTTCAGGTCCGAACCGCCAGGTTAGAGGCCATTGAAATCCCTGCAGGCCCTGCCCTGGAACCCCGCGGACGTAGTGCCCTTTCCACTGCGCCCATGCAGCTGCAAGGGGGAGAAGAGAGGAGGTCGATTGCGATGGGTGGGGGCGTGGCGAGGTACAGCATCTCGAACCTGATGGCTGGCGCCCCTGGCTGCGCCAGCGGTGCAGCATACGGGGCCTTCGAGACCATTCCCTTCGGGCCCTTCAGGCCCTGCCCTGGAGCTCCAAGGCTGCAGTGGCCCCTTCACCGCAGCCATGCAGCTGCGGAGGGAGATTGTGGTCAGGTGGCTCCAACCTGGTGGCTGGCACTTCTGGCTGCATCAGCGGGGCAACGTGGGGGGCGTGGTTGCTTGTGCTCGGGGCACCTGGGGTGGGGGCTCACGGAACCCAAGACTGCGTGCACAGAATTGCCCCTTCCTGCGAGGAGGGATGGGACGGGGATGGGACGGCGATCCCTCCTTGTATTCCTCGCCATGACATCCCTCTAAGGTGGGCGAGTCGCGGTAACCACAGAGACGTGAGAGCGTGTTGAGCCGCTGGCCTTGCCGCCAAATTGCGTCCTTGAGGTCGAATTTGTGGATGCATGTAAGTCAGCATTGCTGCCGGCCAGCGCTCGCGAACGGACGAACCGTGGTAATCGGATACAATTGAGAGCGTGCAGGACCGTTGGCCCTGCGGCCAGATTGCGTCCTTGAAGCTGCTGCTTCGTGACAGGGGTAAGCTCGCAGACTCTCCGGGTGCAAGAAAGCTTGCAGAGCCTCCGGCCGACCCAAACAAAACCAACCGCGGTATTTAGGAAAACGCGACAGTGTGAAGGGCCGCTGGCCTTGCCGCCAGGATGTGTCCTTGAGACAATTGCCTCGCGATGTGGTCGCGCGCGCAGAATCTGTGGATGCATGAAAGCTCCCCAGCCAGTATCCACAAGGAGGCGGACCGTGGTGGCAAAGGATAAGCGCGCTGAATCTGCGGATGCCTGGATTCCAGCACTGCCGCCATCCAGCGTTTTAAAAAGGGCGAGCCGTGGTAGCCACGGAGACGGGGGGGCGCGCAGGGCCGTTGGCATTGCCGCCAGGCTGTGTCCTTGAGGCAACTGTCTCGCGACGGGGGGGTAGCGCGCATAATATATGGATGCACGAAAGCCGACATGCCCAAGCCAACATCCAAGAGAAGACGAACCGTGCTAACCAGAGAGACGTGAGAGCGTGCAGGACCGCCGACGTTGCCGCGGGGCATTGTCGTTGAGGCCGTTGCCTCGCGCTGGGGGCAGCAAGCGTCTGTGGGCGCACGAAAACTGGCATTTCGCAGGCCAACTTGACATGTAGATGGGCCGTGGTAGCGGATAGGCTCCATGGTGCGCAGGGCCTTCGGCCTTGCCGCCGGGCTTAGCTTGTCCTTGAGGCAAGTGCCTTGCGACGGGGGCAAGCGTGCAGAAGCTGTGGATGCACGAATGTCAGCGTTGCCGCCAGCCAGCGTCCAGGCGAATGCGGAAAGTGGTGTGCGGAAAGGCGTGAGATTGCACAGTTCCGCCGGCCTTGCCGCCGGGCTGTGTCCTAGAGGCAACTGCCTCGCGGCGGGGGGCTGCGCGCGCGTAATCTGCGGATTCACGACGGACGGTTTTGTCGCCAGCCTGCCTCTACAAGGGGATGAAGCGTGGTAGCAGAGCGTGCGTGAGAGTGTACAGGACTACCGGTCCTTCCGCCGGGCATTCGCCTTGTTGCAAATGCCTCGTGACGGGGGATGCCTGTGCAGGACCGCCAGCCTTGTCGGGCGGTGTCCTCGAAGCCAATGCCTCGCAACGGGGATTCGCCGGGCTTGTGTCAAAGTCGTCGAGGTCCTCGAAGTGAAGACCTCGATGCGAAGGCGTCGAGATGAAGGCCTCGTGGTGAAGAGCCCTCGAGGTGATCTTCGACGAGGTGAAAACAG